AGACAGGGTGGGGCTGAGGGGGGAACCCAAGCCACAGACTAGAGCGCGGCAGGGACTTGAAAAAGCGAGATGGGAACACGGCGGCTCCTATCCTGCGCCTGTCCCCAAGCTGTTGGCCTCTCTGAGATCTGCTGAGGAACAGGGAGGGAACCCGACACAGGGGGAAGGAGCATCAACTCGAGCACGTGGCTAACTCCAAAACAAGGGTAGTTTTCTGCTGGAACACGTGCTCCTCACTGGATTTGAAAGCTAGTCGTACCCGATAACCTCCATTCGCCGGGTGCCTCCTATCCTGCGCCTGTCCCCAAGCTGTTGGCCTCTCTGAGATCTGCTGAGGAACAGGGAGGGAACCCGACACAGGGGGAAGGAGCATCAACTCGAGCACGTGGCTAACTCCAAAACAAGGGTAGTTTTCTGCTGGAACACGTGCTCCTCACTGGATTTGAAAGCTAGTCGTACCCGATAACCTCCATTCGCCGGGTGCCTCTAATTCGGGAACACCCGCGGTACCGACCCTGGCAGCTGGGGGAACGACCGCGCAGCGGCGCACTCAGCCAGAGGCCTTTCCCTGCTGCTCCCATAGCAACGGGTGTGTGTGTGGTGGGAAATGTGGAATGCCAAGGAAGCGCCCTACCCCTCGCTTCCTCCCCCTGGCCCGGCAAACTCTTTAATCCGGCAAACCCTGTTTCTCCAAGGCTGCCAGATGAAAGAGGTGGGAGAGTATTACAATTCCTCCCCTAAGGAAATGCCAGTTGAGCGTGTGGGCCGACGGACTGAATGCTTTAGGTGGGATGGGAAATGCGGAGGTAAAGGAGAGATACTACAACAGGGGTGAGCACAATATGGCCCCCGGGCCGGATCCGGCCCTCCAAGCTGTTTGATCTGGCCCACCCTGCTGCAACCCTGCCCCCAGGCCAATCGAGACTTGGGGGCAAGGGAGTGCACAAAGTCTTTTGCTCTTCAAAGCAGCTGGCCAGGGGCCCATGGTGCCTAGAGGGAGGCACTAGCTGTTTTGAATAGTGAATGACTTTGCACAATCCCCCGCCACCAGGTCCTGATTGGCTTGAGGGTGGAGGAGTGTGCAAAGTTTCCTCCTCCCCCTTCCCACCAAGGGCGCATGACGCCCAGAGCAGTGTTTCTTAAACTGCTTTCCGTGGCACACCGGTGTGCTGCGAGGCAGTCGGAGGTGTGCCGTGGAGAACAACAGAGTTCAAAATGGCCGTCCTTAAAGGGGCAGTTGACTTTTTTTTTTTTGATCAATAACTTCCTTCCGTCCCTTCTCCCCACTTTTTTTTTTTGCTCAACAAAAAACCCTTGGGGTTCCTCATTAAAAAAATTATTGTTTGGTGTTCCTTGGTCTTAAAAAGTTTAAGAAACACTGGCCTAGAGGGAACTGCCAATTTCTGCCTGGTTATGTCTACATTACAGGGTTTTTGCACAAAACCCCGCGGAGTGTCCACACCTCAAGCACGTTTTTACGCAAAAAAAATACAGTAAATCGAGAGGACAGAGGGCTTTTGTCAGTAGAGTTATTCCTCTTCCCATGAGGAACAACTCCTTTTTGCGCTACAGCTCTTGCGCAAAAAGGCAGGTGTGGACGCTCAGCAGGGGTTTCTTGTGCAAAAAGAGTCTATCACAAAAAGCACAGGTGCTCTGAGGGCCATTCTATGAATGGCCATCCGCACTTTCTTGCGCAAGAGTGTCCATGCAGCGCGGACGCTCTCTTGCGCAAAAGCACGTTGCTTTTGCAATGCGCTTTGAGGTCTGGACACACTTTTGCGCAAGAAGTTTTGGCGGAAGCTCTCGTCCGCAAAAAGCTTCTTGCGTAAAAATCCTGCAGTGTGGACAAAGCCCCTGAGGCCCCGCCCCTTCCACCTGAAGCCCCACCCCTTCTGGGGCGGAGCCAGCCCGCCGCCATGAACCAACCGTCATGAAGTGGCCCCTGCCAAATGCATCACTGATAGTCCAGGATCTGCACCCGGCCCAAGCAGCAATGCCGGCGGCACCCAGAGCCGAATGTAGCGCCAGAGGGGATAGATACTCACATGGCTTGGTAAAAGGGGCAGGGCATAGAAAGAGGCAGCAGCTCCAGGGTGGTTGCGTTTACCCCCGGGAGCAGCAGGCTGAGTCTGTGGAGCCATGCGGTGGTGTCTTCCAGTGACATGTCGGTGATGTGGGGGAAGACGAGTTCGGCTGCCCTCATTAGCATGGTGTCCCGCACCTTGGCATTGCCCAGCAGCCCGGCGCGCTGGGGAAGGAAGGAGAAATGAACGGCAGGCACCAGGCAGAGGCCAAATGATCCCAGGTCCTACTCTCCCGGCCTGGTGTAGTAGAAAGCAGGAGCCGGTTGGGGTGACCTTGGAGAGGCTTTGGGGAACTGATGCGGAGCCGGGGGGCTTCTTGTAGGCAAAACAGCAACGAAGCCGACAGCGTCCGATGCCTGAATCTCCTCTTCATCACACCCCAGCGCACCCTGGAAACTGCCCCAAATCCCAGGGACTTTCTCGGGATTTAGAAGGGCACAAGTGCGAGGAGAAGAGGGCTGCTCTCACACCGAGGTCTTTGGTTTTGGAGTTGGTGGTTCCAAGTCCTAGATCCCACAAAACCCTGAGACCTGGCTGCCCAGAAGTCAGGCTACTTTCCTGCAACGCTCCTGTGTGGACAACTACAACCTACCAGAGCTGTGGGCGTCCTAGGAGTCCTAGGCCAAGCAGCACGAATCCTGTCTAGCTCAGTGCATGCAGATGTTATGTAACGGTGTAAGGGCTCGATCCAGAGTGCACGTCGTTCAATGGAAAGACTCCCAATGACAGCAGCAGCCACTGGATCAGGTGCTCTGCATTGTCTTTCAGTTGGGGATTGGGGTGGATGTGACCCTAACAGCCCCAGTGGGGACACGGTTGTCATGACATACCCGAAAGGTGGCATGGAGTGTACCACGGGAAAACTAATAACCCTCTGACCACTCCTATCCTTTGGCCCGCCATGCCCACGGCACACCCATTCCAGACAGAGGGACGTGGTTCCACCTGTGTACACGTGTCTCCCACGTGAATTAAGCGAGGTAGCAAGGTGTGACCAAAGTCGGGGAAAAGCGCAAAGGGAGCGAGTGGGGAAAGGAGCGCTTCATCTCGCCGGGGACAGCGACTGCACCGCCAGGAAGTCCTCCTGCCTCATGAAGCAGGGTCGGTGAACGTTGGCAAGGAGCGCGGGCCAGGGCCGCTCAAGGCCCCTCACTTGAGGGACTAAGGACACCAGCGCTCTTGAAACCACAGCACGACGTGTCCTGTAAGCCGAGGGGTGACGTGTCTGGGAGCTGAGCACAGAAACCTGCTTGGGCCAAGATTGTGACTTGCTGAAATTAAGTTTTGGACCCAGAAGCGTGTTCATAGAATCATAGAATCCCAGGGCTGGACGAGACCTCAAGAGCCATCAAGTCCAGCCCCCTGCCCAAGGCAGGACCAGCCCCAACTCAATCAACCCAGTCAGGGCTTGGTCAAGCCGGGACTTCAAAACCTCTAGGGATGGAGATTCCACCCCCTCCCTAGGGAACCCAGCCCAGTGCTTCCCCACCCGCCTAGGGAAATTGTTTTTCCTAATATCCAACCTGGACCTCTCCCACTGCAACTTGAGCCCATTGCTCCTTGTTCTGCCCCACTGAGAACAGCGTCTGTCCATCCTCTCTGGAACCCCCCTTCAGGGAGTTGAAGGCTGCTCTCAAATCTCCCCTCACTCTTCTCTTCTGCAGACTAAAGAAGCCCAAATCCCTCCACTCTCCTTGTAGGTCTCTAATCATTTTCATTGCCCTCCGCTGGATCCTCTCCAATGCGTCCAGAGCCTTTCCGTAACAGAGGGCCCAGAATGGGACGCCATGCTCCAGGTGGTGTGACTTGTCCCCATTTCGAACCTTCTTCCTTATGCTTGGGGACACTTCAGCCTGTGACGTTTTGCTTAAGAAACGTGTTTTAGACACAGGCTCAGTGTGCGGATAGAAACAGAGTGTTTGTTAATCCGGTCAAGGGGCTCTGTCTCTTTAAGGATCTCTGTGGGAGTTGTGTGAGGGTGGGATGCTGCAGAGAGAAGTTTCTGGGGAAGTCAGCAGCCGGGGCTCACCCTGTTGCCTCCGAGGCGAGGTTTGGGCCGGACAGAACAGCTGGTGTGTCAGGGGACTGTTACGGCGCTTCCCAGCAGCCAAACTCGGCTGCTGAGGTAACGCAGTAACTCTCAATTCTGGGAACCCCCAGGCACCACAGCAAATTTCACACAGTTCCTCTGAGGAAAACCCTTCTCACTGGTCTTTGTGCAGGAGGACAGGAGGGAGGGAACCTTCCCTAAGCAAGGCCAGAATAAGGATCTTGGGGATTTGGGCTACGTGGCACAGCTCTTATTGCATCAGTCGGGGAAACGCCCTTCTGGCTCATCTAGTCGATCTACAGTTGCTTGCGGTCGTGAGGATGCCAGACCCAGTCTTCCTTCTGGTGGCACGAAGGACACAGGAGCAGCATGCGTGGGAACCCAGGGGATGTTACTAATGTTTATTTACCTTCATCAGCAGGGCGTTGAGGTCATCCAGGTAAGCACTGAGGTGCAGGAGCGGCTCCTTCTTGCTTCCGATGGCCTCGAAGACCAGCTGGATGGCCGCAGCGCTGTAGATCGCGTTGCTTTCCGCCGACAGCTGGGCCAGCGCGCTTGCTGAGAGAAGGTCGAGGGAGTCTTGCTGTGTCGGACACAGAACACGGGCGTATGAGAAGCAGCCCCCAGCTTCCCACGCAGCTGGACTTTGACCCAGAATCTTAACCCAGAGCCAATGGGCGTTTTTAGGGGTGTAGCAAACGGCAGCATTTTGCTGTGAGCAATTGCCAGGGCAATGGTTTTATCCTACTAACCAAATGATCTGAAGACACGGTCTGTGTTTTAAAACCCGTTTGGCCTTGCCTAGCAGCAGCCATCTTTGGGAGCTGGAAAAATCTCTGCCTTGTCCCCTTTCCAAGGTGTATTTCTGATTCCTAGGCAGTGTTCCCGCTGATCTTTTCCATTCACGTGCGGATTTTTTCTGCCCATGTGTGGAATAATTTTATGCGCACCGAGGCATGTATGAATGTGCACCACCAGTAGAAACAAAAAACCTATCTGTGGTTGCTCTGCTAATCAGCTGGTTGGCCTTGGGATCTTTCCTGAGCAGCTGGGAACACTGCTCCGAGGCTGTTTTAGGATTGCCCGCTTGCTTTGGGATGCTGCTCTTTGACATGGATTCTTTTCCCTAAGCCGAACGATGCCGACCTACTCAGGTGCAACATTTCCCCGTGACAGGTACACGTGTTCTATTCCCAAGAACAAACCATCGCGTTTCAAAGCTGGCCCTTACCCCTTGGAATTTGCTCTTTAATGCGGTGAAGTCAGAATATGAGCCATAAACAGCGAAAAGCCCAAAATATTGTAGCAGCCATTGCCTGTCGGCGATGATTCCTTGGGCACAGGCCGAGCCTAGGTGAAGGGAAGCAGAGAGTCAGGAAAGATTCTTTGTGTGGAATTAACACTGCGAGTCCCCACGGGTGACAAAACACAACCAAGGATCACGTCCCACAGCTTCCAGGTTGGCAACCCAAGGGTTTAAGCATAGCGGTGGGGGACCTTTTTGGGGTGGGTGGCTGCTAATCCACAGAAAAATCAGTCGAGGGCTGCACAGGCTGGTAGATTGTGTGTGCTCCAACCCCACGGCAAGACGGTAGGGGGAAGGAGAGAGCACCAGCATGGGCTCCCCAATGCTGAAGGGGGAACCCCAAGCCTCAGGGGCTGGATCCAGGCAAGCCAGGGGCCGCATCTGGCCCCAGGGCCCCACCCCTGGTTTAGAGAGAGATCAAATTCTTCTCTTTGGATGCACGTGGTTTGAGATCTTGTTGATTTCAATGGGGATTCCAAGCAGCGTGAACCAGAGAGCTGCAAACCTGCCACACGATTAGCTGGTGGGAAGCACTTCTGCCTTATTCCTGATTAAAACCCTGAGCATCTGCACAGTCTAGGGAAGTTTTAAAAGAGACGGGCTGTGCCCCTCGCAAAGCAATGCCCCCGAAGGCAGCCTGGGGAATGGGGAAACGTCACCTGTGGACAGCTGCACTTTGCTAGAGACCAGAACAAACCTCGGAGTCTGCTCAACCTACAGGACATTATGCGACACCTGAATGGTGCCGTTTTTGCATAGTCTTTAGGCTCGGGGATCCAAACGGCCTCGGTCTTTGTTACCTGAATTTTGCAGCTGGAAGTGAAGAACTCTCTTTATAAAGGAGACGATGTCTTCTGGGTTCTCAAACGTCCCATTGGCTTTGTGGTCACTCAGGATCTTCACTCTGCAGAATAAGGAGAGTTAGGCAGAGACAGGGACCGCGTGAAGATCAGTGTCCGGAGTACACTCTGCTAAAGGACACGGAAAAGCACCCCGAGCCTTTCCCTGGAAGCACAAAGGCTTCTACCAGGTGAGCTAATGGAGCAACTTTTCTCCCCCTCCTAGTAGAGCAGTAAGGAACAGACAAGGAGCAATGGGCTTAAACTGCAGCCAGGGAGGTTTAGGTTGGACATTAGGAAAAACTTCCTACCTGTCAGGGTGGTGAAACACTGGAATAAGTTGCCTAGGGAGGCTGTAAAATCTCCGTCACTGGAGATATTTAAGAGCAGGTCAGACAGACACCTGTCAGGGATGGTCTAGACAGTGCTTGGTCCTGCCGTGAGGGCAGGGGACTGGACTCGATGAACTCCTGCGGTCACGTCCAGTTCTAGGATTCTCTGCTCCAGAATGATTCAGAGGCAAACGCAGACGGGTTAACTGGGCCATGCCCCGATTCATTCAGATTCTCCAATTGGAGAGAAGGCCTCACTCTATTCCCTGCCCCCACCGGCGTGTGGTGGAACCGCAGCGCCTTAGCCCTGAGATGGTCGCTTCACGGCCTCTTACAGGAAGCCAACTGGTCAGCGTTCAGCGCCTCCGTACAAGAGACGCCGGCCTGAGGTCTGCTCTGGCTTTGCATATCTGCTGCAGCATTTCCGGACCCGTCGGGTCGCCCGTCTGACCGCCGCACGGCACCGGCCCCTGCAATCCACCCAGAGTCCCCGGCTGGAGCCCTGTTAGTGAGACTACAGCATGTGCATCCTCGATAGACTAAAGTATCGCCTGGTGCAGGTAAAGATCAGGAGAGAGCGAGAGGCCACTAACGCCCTGGCAAAGCAGAATGTTGGCTAAGTCGGTTACGTCCATCGAAGGGGCCCGATAGCAAGAGCGAAAAATTGGGATGGAGTGGGAGTTAGAGGCACCGTTAAATCGGGACAACTGGTCACCCTACGCCCAGCCCTAACCCAGCAGATGATCCATGCCCCACATGTGAGAAACTCCCAATGGCTCTGACAATCCGACTCTGAGACATTTCCTTCCCAACCGCCCCTACGCCCATGAGGAGGGCCCTGGCGTAGAAGAGACTGCTCCCATAGCTTAGCGACGGCGCCGAAGGCCTCTGTGTGACACTGGGATTTTTTCCTGGCCTCCGTTGTGGGGGGCCCTGAGGTATCTAGCTGGGATACGCACATGGTGGCGAGGGAGTCGCACGACATGTCCAGAGGTAAAAAGCCAAGATTCTGGGCGGTCAGGCCGCTCAGGAAGAGGGTGAGTCTCTCCCCGAACCAGACGGCGTAGTCCCCCGCCGAGAAGTGCTTGAACATGGTGCTCATGTGGCAAAAGATCTCGCCCAGGATGAATCTTCTCACCTCGGCGTGAGGCAGCTGAGTGAGGTGGTGCTGCAAGCCAAAGAGTGAGCGAGCAGCATGAGAACCGGCCCTTTCTGCCCGCTCTGAAATCCAGGGGCAGGCGCCGGGCGGGGCTGGAACGTGGGTCTCTCCCCCAGCGAAACCCCAGGGGCATCTTTAGCAAGCCCGGCGTCAGTGCCCGTCTGGGACCTACGCGGCGCTCTCCAGCCCGTTGAGCGGCAGGGAAGGTATTTACCTGCTGCGCAGCGGCGTTGAACGCATCCAGGAACTCCCCGGTGGTGCGGGCGTTCAGAGCGCTGAAGATCTTGCCCGCTTTGTCACTGTCGCGCAGAGCGTCGCTCGCCAGCGTGTAAGACGCCAGCTGCGCTGGGCTGAGCCCGACCACGGCATCGGCCTAGAAAACAAAAGCCATAGGCCGGTCCTTTTGCAGCGGGACGTTGACCAGCAGCCAAAAGGGAAACCAAAGCTGCCGGCAGGAGGGTGCTGACCAGGCCTTTGGCTCCGGCGGTACTTACCGCGCTGAAATCTGCCTTGATGCCCACCAGATCCTCGTAACTGGCCAACCTGCCGAAGGAGCCCCAGTTTGCTTGTAGCCAGCCCAAGCTGCCCTTGGTGTTCTCAGTGCAGGGATCATCTTGAAATAAAACACAGGTTGGGGAAGAGCTTGGGACCAGCAGGGGACACGGAGCCATGTGCATCCCCAAGGAACCATCCCCCACGCTGCTCCTGAACCCCCCACCCAGCCTGCTTCCTGCACCCCCAGACCCTCCACCCTAGGAAAATCTAGGATTTACATCTCCCTTTTGTGCAACTGTAACCACCTGAAGGCAGGTGTGAATCTGGACCCTCTGGAGCTGAGTCTACGAGTCTCTATCACTCGAGCTAAAAGCCAGCTACGTCTCAGCCTAGGCTGCAGCGCTCCCTTGTTCTTAGCTCTCGCTGTAAGAGATCTAAGTGCCGCTCGATTCCTCAAAGAGGTATACCAGTTATTTCAAGGGAAGGGTTTTCTCTCGAAATGACCACATCTTAACAGCATCTGTTATGTCGAAATAGCGCCATCATGCAAATATGCAAATGAAGCACGGGATATTTAAATCCCGGCCTCATTTGCAATTTCGAATGTCTTCATTTGCATCTCTCTCTCGAAAAAGGGTGCAACTGTAGACATACCCTATGTTATTTCGGAATAACTGACTGTCATGGTCATGAGGGATGGCCAGCAACCTGGGGACTAAGGGGTTAACTGTATCTAGCCAGGTAGCAGTCAGCCAATAGAAATGAAGATAGGGATTTTAAACTGGGACAAAGGAATTTGGGGGTTTTCCCTCCTTTGTCTCTGGGCCAGTTTTCTCTAGATACTGAGGGAGACAGAAGACATGTCTCTCTCTAAGAAAAAGACTCTTCATAATGTGTAAGTAGGGTAAAGTAAAGATACATCTGTTTTATTGTTTTCTGTTGTGGGACTTTGGATCAGATGTCTGTGCTGTTAGAAATGGGTTTTCCTCTCTTTTGTAACTAAGTTTTGGCCCATGGGAGTCCTCATGAGTATATTAATTGGTGACTTTTTCCATCTAGTCATTATGCTAAGGAGTATTGTTGTGATAATAAAAGTGCTTTCTTTTTTATGAACCTGGTATTGGTTCAGTTCTGCGTCCTGGAAAATCTGTCTGTGGGATCTGCCTGCCTCTGACTAGAGGACAGCAGCCACAGATGGCAGTTTGTATTTTTCTCTTCTATTTTTCAAGCTCTTTGGGGGAAAGAGCTTGAGGCACCCTGGGGTTGGTTTCAAGTATCCACCCTTGTTTGTGGGTTCAAAACCACTTGATGGTGGCAGCGGATTTTTATCCCCAAAATCTAGGTGTTTAGGATTCACCCTGGGGTTGGTTTCAAGTATCCACCCTTGTTTGTGGGTTCAAAACCACTTGATGGTGGCAGCGGATTTTTATCCCCAAAATCTAGGTGTTTAGGATTTGGGGGAGAAGTTTTATACCAAAGCCTGGAGAGAGAAGGTTTTGGGGTACTTGTGGGCCCCCACTTCTGCATTCATCATGCCAGAGTGGGGAATCAGCCTTGACACTGATGTTATTCTGAAATCACGCTGCTGTGTAGCCTCGGCATGTGGGTTACACAACCCGCGACTGATTTTTCTGTGGGTCGCCAGCTCCTAACCCTATCCCCATCCCTGCAGGCAAATTCGCATTGCTCCCTTGCAGACGGATGTGGACTAGTTACTCCAGCTGAAGGTGGGGGAGTAACAGCAAGAGGCACCAGGTGCGTTGGCGTCCGTCACTTTTTGAATAAGGTGACCTGGCGTCCAGCCTGTTGCTGTCGCTGGGAGTTCTGTCCTTGTAGAAGAGTCACGGAACTTAGACGGTTGCGGGATGCTCTCAACGTACCCCCTTGAGCCGCCTTGGCCGTGAGGTAGGCCCTCGCGAAGCTGTAAACATCGTGTTGGCTCGCGGGTGACATGTGCTGGAAGCTGCTGTCTAGGCCGGCCATTCTGTGGGCAAAGAAGAGGGGGGTATTTGGTGTCTTGGATCAAACCTCCCCGCAGCTCTGTGGCATGAGCCCTTCGACACACGATGGCTTTGTAAAATGGGAGTCGGCGGTGAGTCGATGAGCAGTTTGCGCCTGCAGGAGGCTCGGGGACTGTGCTCTGCTAGAGAAGTGGTTGTCAAAATGTGGTAGATGATGTTCCCCTTTCCAAAAAACGTCTGCTACCAGGTACCCCGCTCCGAGTTGGGGTCAGAATATACCTTTGATTCAACTGCCAAGTCTTACTCACTAGAATGCGTTGTCCGTCATTACGGGACTTTTCCTGCATGCCCCCCTGACGAGAGCTCACGGGCCTCTAGGAGTAACGTACCCCAGTTTGAAAACCACTGCTCGAGAGCGATCCGACACACAGCATCACTTCCCTGAATGCTCAGTTAGTTGTCACAAAGCTCCGCCCACAGCCTCCAGCTGTGCAAATGACCGCATAGAAATACAAGGGGGTACCATAGAATCATAGAATAATAGGACTGGAAGGGACCTCGAGAGGTCATCGAGTCCAGCCCCCCGCCCTCAAGGCAGGACCAAGTTCCGTCTACACCATCCCTGACAGATGTCTATCTAACCTGTTCTTAAATATCTCCAGAGAGGGAGATTCCACCACCTCCCTTGGCAATTTATTCCAATATTTGACCACCCTGACAGTTAGGAATTTTTTCCTAATGTCCAACCTAAACCTCCCTTGCTGCACTTTAAGCCCAAGGGCAAGAAGAGAGAAATTGAAGAAACTTTAGGTACAACTTCAAGTACCTAAAAGGGTGTTAACAAGGAGGAGGGAGAAATATTGTTCTCCTTGGCCTCTGAGGACAGGACAAGAAGCAATGGGCTTAAACTGCAGCAGGGGAGGTTTAGGTTGGACGTTAGGAAAAACTTTCTACCTGTCAGGGTGGTCAAACACTGGAATAAATTGCCTGGGGGGTTGTGGAATCTCCATCGCTGGAGATATTTCAGAGCAGGTTGGACAGACGCCTGTCAGGGATGATCTAGACCAGAGTGGGCAAAAGGGCCTCCAAGGGGTGGATCCGGCCCACCAAGTGGGTTGATCCAGCCCATGGAGGCCCTGCTGTTCCCCCACCCCCAGGCTAATTAGAGCCTGGGGCCGGGGGAGGGGAGAGACGTGCGAAGCTTCCTCCTGCCCTGCCAGGAGCACTCAGCACTTTGAAGCGCCATGTGCTGCTCGTGGGGTGGGAGGAGACGCCACGCGCTCCCCGCCCTGAGTGGCCTGTGGGCAGAAGAGCTGTGCAAAGTTTCCTCTGCCCTGCCCCTACCCTATGAGGAGTGAGCGACACTTCAAAGTGCCATATGCTCGCACAGGGCTGGGGCAGGGCGAAGGACGCTTTGAGCAGCTCCCCTGCCCCCCGGTCCTGATTGGCCTGGGGGTGGGGGAGCATGCAAAGCCTCTTCCTGCCCTGCCAGGAGCACTCAGCACTTTGAAGCGCCATGTGCTGCTCGTGGGGTGGGAGGAGACGCCACGCGCTCCCCGCCCTGAGTGGCCTGTGGGCAGAAGAGCTGTGCAAAGTTTCCTCTGCCCTGCCCCTACCCTATGAGGAGTGAGCGACACTTCAAAGTGCCATATGCTCGCACAGGGCTGGGGCAGGGCGAAGGACGCTTTGAGCAGCTCCCCTGCCCCCAGGTCCTGATTGGCCTGGGGGTCGGGAGAGTGCACGAAGCCTCCTCCCTCCCTGCAAGGAGCACGTGGCACTTTGAAGTGTCACATGCTCCTGGGTGGGGGGGTAGGGTGGGAGGAGGCTTCACGCGCTCCCCTGTCCTCAAGCCCTGATTGGCCTGGGGGTCGGGAGAGTGCACGAAGCCTCCTCCCTCCCTGCAAGGAGCACGTGGCACTTTGAAGTGTCACATGCTCCTGGGTGGGGGGGTAGGGTGGGAGGAGGCTTCACGCGCTCCCCTGTCCTCAAGCCCTGATTGGCCTGGGGGTGGGGGAGCATGCAAAGCCTCTTCCTGCCCTGCCAGGGGCTTGGTTGCCTAGTGGGAAGTGGGGTGGAGGGGAAGAGGTTCTCCCACCCGCAGACCAGTCACGGTCTGGGGAAGCCCAAAAGCATCCTGACCCCGCCCCTTCCTGGGCAGCCCGGAGACACTTCAACAAGTTTTGAAGTGGTCTCTGTCCAAAAATTATGTCCCACCCCTGATCTAGACGGTGCTCGGACCTGCCGTGAGGGCAGGGGACTGGACTCGATGACCCCTCGAGGTCCCTGCCAGTTGTAGTGTTCTGTGATTCTACGATTCTCCTTTCTCTCTGTCCCCATCAGATCAGGACCTCACAAATCCCGCAGCTCTGCAATGCACTCAACCCCCCTGCTCAGGCAGCCGCAGGCAGACACGCCGGGTTCTCTCCCTGCGCAAAAAGCTCCTCTGTGTTTTCTGCAGCTGATATCCCAGGGGTCTCTCTGCCCACCTTCGCTGCCGTGCATGCTGGGTAAAAGGAGTCGAGGCTGCGGAATGCTCACATGATTTGGAAAACTCCGCACGGGATCTTCTTCGGGAGGGTCGCCAGGGCAGAGGCGTTGATGCTGGCGAGCCACGGCCGGAGCCTGTCCTGGAACCAGTCCTTGTACTGGGAGACGCTGAACGTGGTGAACTGGCTCCGGACTTTGGAGAAGATGACGTTGAACATTGCGTCTCGCACCTGCGTGTTTGCCAGCGACATGATCCCCTGCTGCAAAACAAAGACAACAGCTCTCAGCCGGGGTTGCCACCGTGTGCAGCCAGACAGGAGCAGCTTCCGACCCGCTCCTCCTGTGGATGTCCCAGGGTAATAAAACACACGGCAGCTACAAGTGTCTATGGCCGTTTAGAAGGATCCAATATAAATTAAAGTCCTTCCTGGGGACTAATACAGAGTCTTCTGCTACGTAGAATGAGCAATGCTGTTAAAAACGCAAGTGAAGCATAAGAACGGCCAGACTGGGTCAGACCAAAGGTCCATCCAGCCCCGTGTCCTGTCTTCCGACAGTGGCCAATGCCAGGTGCCCCAGAGGGAGGGAACAGAACAGGGACTCATCAACTGAGCCTTCCCCTGTCACCCATTCCCAGCCTCTGAGAACCATCCTTACCCATTACTGGACCTATCCTTCTTGTATTTATCTGGTTCTTTTTTGAACCCTGTTAAAGTCCTGGTCTTCACAACATCCTCTGGCAAGGAGTTCCCCAGGTTGACGGTGTGTTGTGTGAAGAAAAACGTCCTTTGGTTTGTTTTAAACCTGCTGCCTATTCGTTTCATTGGGTGACCCCTAATTTTTATATCAAGGGAGCAAATAACTTCCTTATTCATTTTCTCCACTCCAGTCCTGATTTTATAGACCGCTATTATAGCCCCTCCTTAGTCTCCCCAAGTTTGGGGAGTTTGTTCCTCCCCAGTCTTTTCCCTGCCATATTCAGGATTTTTTGTGAAAGTATCTGGCAACCCTAGGACCAGGGGAGGTCTTCCTATCCCCCATTGTCACCAGCCGCTTCCAGCCCTGGCTTTGCTTCCTGGCCTGCAGGACTCTTGACCCCCATGGACCATGGATGTTGCCAGACCAGAGAGTCCCAGTTAATAGAGGTTCAATCTGTGCTCACAAAACCAGCAGCTGCTGGGTGGGCTACTCCCGGAAGTGATGACTGATCTGGCTCTGAGCCCTGCCCCGAGTGTGCGCTTAGCCACCTGGAAACGATTGGTCAATGAAGAAACCCCTTCACATTGGTGTATCGATACGTTACCTGAGGCGCCATGGCCACAAACTCTGTCACAAAGGCGACAACATCGCCAACTGGCCTGCTCTGCAGGGACACCAGGAGGGGCTCCGCCAGGGCGCTCTCGTCCAGGACATCCGTGCCGAAGAAGACGTGAGCCAGTTGCGTTGAAGTGAGGTTATCTCTTATGTCAAACTGCAAAGACCAGGGATGAGATTTAAGGGGAGGCCATGGCACAGCCAGCAAGCTGGGACCCACGACACAACCCTTAAGTGAGGCAGCCATGGTGCTCCATGAGGAATGCTCCATCACGGGAGAAGATACATTGGGGCAGATTTCCTCTCGCTCATGTTGAGAAATCCGTTTCTCCACAAGCAGCCCCGTGTTTTTCAGTGGGATCACTCGCCGAGGAAGCTACTGAACCTGAGCAAGGGGGACAAAACCCAGCCCCTAGCAAGTAGAACGAAATGCGGACTCACCCCATTGAAACTGGCCATAAGTTTGGTGAAATCTTCATAGCGCGCGTTCTTGGCAAATGCCCCAAAGTTATTCTGGAGCCAATCCAGGCTTCCCTCGCTGCCTGAAGCACAGGCAGAACCTGAAATGCCAAGCCACACAGGAGATGAATGACTGAATCCCTCCCACCGCCTTCTTTTTTGATTAGGCTAGCTTGGCTCTGAGGGCGGAAGGGTAATTATACTATCCAAAAAGGGACCTAAAAGTTACAGAACATTGGGACTGGTTCTCCCATTACACACACCCGTTTTAAACCACGACGCCTCCACTGATCTCCGTGGAGATACTCTTGATTTCCATCCAGGCCCATTGGTACCTTTCCCCCATCCTGAAAGAATTAGTGCTTCCAAAGCTGTTATCTGCCAGCTAACACACGCTTCTCTTTTGGTCACTTGGAGCTCGTCTTCACTACACATTGGATCAACGCTTCCGTGATCGATCCTCCGGCAGTTGATTTAGCGTGTCTGCTTAGACATGATAAATCAATCTCCGAGTGCTCTCCTATTGACTGCAATACTCCATCAGGACAGGAAGAGTAGCTGGAATCCATGGGAGAGCAACCCCCACTGACATTACCACATGGAAGATGCCACGGTAAATGCGTCAACGTCGCATAGCTGACGTTGCATAGGTTAGATCAACAGAGGAAGGGGGAAACACAGTGTAGACAAGGCCTTAGTATCTCCATGATATGCGGTATTAACGGGATCAACAATTAAGGTAATCTACTCGCCATGGGCGAGCAGATTATAGCCCGGCACGGCACCGCAGCATGATCAGCGCATGTGCAGCATGCTGAACTGCGCGGCTGGCGAGCGGGGCTCGCCATGGTTTGATGAGCCCTTGCAGAGGAATGCCTGCTAAAATTCCTTCCAGAAAGCATTAATGAACACACGACACCACTTGTTCGGCAACATCGAACTCATAGACTAGAAACCAATTAGTTTTACATCCGAATTACCTGTTGCGCTGTACTGATTTTCAAGGAAGGCGAATAAAGCTCTGTAGACCCCCTGTTGATTCACCGGCGACATAGAAGGATGCACCTGGCTGAGTGAGGCTACCCTGAGGAATGGAATCACACGAGAAAAGAGGTCACTTTCATCTTTGAACACCTTCCGGTATTATTATTGATACAGCTCGCGACAGCCCCGCGCAGATACAAAATTTGTATTGGCAACCACCATGAATGGCAAGGTTTGTCAATGCAGGGAGCCTTAGCTTGCAGCTCTCTGTGCCTCCCAAATTCACTGCACGGGCTGGGACCCATGGGGAAATCACCGTAACCCACGGCCCTCACTGCCCCCCTCCCAGGCCACAAATCGTGAGGGGCTCCTGTTGTAGATTTAAAAATGGACCTCTAAGAATCAAGGATCTGACCCTGATGTCTGTGGATATTTGCGTGATGAAGCATTGTATAAATAAAACGATTTTGTTCAAATTGTGATAAGGGGAAATACAACCCTAGAGCGTCTTTTTGTGCTTCCACGTAAATTGCTTCTTCCTTTGTACGGAGGAAAGGGTTACACTTCCATCTGTGCACTCACATGGCTCGGAAACCGTCACAGCCAGACACGTGAGTCAGGAATTGCTGAATCTCCGTCTCGCCAGCACTTGGCAGCAGGAGCTCGAGTCTTGCAAATAAACGAGTCCAGTCTTGAGGGCTGAAAGCCGAATAGCCGGCCTGGATCTCATGCCCAAACTGGGTGAGCATATTTTTCCTCACTGCTTCATTTTTAATGGTGGCTATCGTCAGCTGAAAGGAAAAACGACCAAGCCGCGGGAATTAAACGCTGCTGCTGGAGATCATCAACCCACTACAAAGCCTTCCCCAGCTATGCTCTCTGCAAGGAAGCTAACTGTGTATTGCCAGATCTCTGCTTTATATCCACAGCTCATTTTTGTAGATCTGGATTTTGTCCCTTGAATCCTGTGAATTTTCAGAGCTCTGTGTTAAATCTGCAGGTATCCCCATCTGTGGATATCTGCAAAGCATGCAGATACACATTTTGTGTCCATGCAGGGCTCTCTAAATGTGTCCCAAGGAGCCACAAATGCTCTGTGGATGTGTACTGTGAAGCATATCACATTGCTGGTGTCGCACCACCTTACTGTCAGGCTGCCCCTTTATCCCTCCTGCCCTGGGGCCACCTGGCTTTTGGCTGTCCTGGCCAGACCCAACCCTGGAGAGCCAAGACTTGAACCCATGACCTTGTCCTCCCGAGGCAAGCACCCTACCCCATAGGTCATGCAGGAACTCGCTCCACCACTTTAACATCAAGGCACTCCGTAAGCCTCCTGCCCCGGACAAGGCAAAGACAGCACAGCCTCAGCCTGAATTATTCCTGCATTGTTTTCTATTGACGATACCAGAGCCCCACCTCTGCCTCTAGTAGTTGGAATGTAACACTAATAATCCATATTCTTGCAGTGATGGATGTACCGTTAAACCCTCAGACAGACAGCTGATACTGGCACACTGGGCGTTTGCCATTTTTAAAGGATTTGCAGCTCCCAATAACTTCAGTGGGAGTTTGGGTGTGCTCAGATGCTTCTGTTTATGTAAATGACTATAGATTTAGGCACCTCACTTCAGACACTGAACAGTGAACATTTTTGTCCACGTTTCTATACTGAAAAGTCATACATTCCGCCCTTTTTTGTAAATATTCTGAGCTAGACCCTCAGCCATCCCAGGAGGCGGACCCTTAGAATGGCCTGACTGAACACTGGGAAGTGTTGTTCTTTTGAAACCGTCAGTTTCAGCCGTGTCATTATGATGCCAGTTCCAATTCATACCCGTTGGGCCTCTTTGTTGAATTGGTCTAAATACTGGTAGATCTCGTCCACTGGTTTGCTCTGTAATTGCGCGAGGACCTGACACATCACCTCCTCCTTGTTAATGGCATCCGATTGCAGAGTAAAAGAGGCAAGTTGTACCGGGGCCAGCTTATCCAACACTCCCATCTAGAGAAGAGAACACAAAACAGGTGGATGCTTTTCCAAGCACCCTATGCTAATCGCTGGATGGGCTCCTAACCAGACAGACCCAATGGATTTAGACACCCAATCCTATTAAAAGGAATGACATCCAAATTCCCCTTGGCAGTTTTTGAAAATCATTGTTGAAATGTAACTGAAAATGATTTCTCCAGGAATCAAACCAATGACATGAGAGTCACCGTCCATCAGGTTCTGTGTCAGATAGTGACATGTTTTGTCCTTGATTGAAAAAGAAGGATCTGTGTTTTATACAGCGATGGCTGCAGAGGAACACTCGGTAAACACACATTTGATCTTGGAAGATGATGCTTGAGGATACTCTGGTGTTACCTTGTTGTTACTCAGTGTGATGTTTTATTACAGGTTGAACCTCTCTACTCCGGCACCCGAATGGTGCCGAACCAGAGAATTTGCTGGACCACAGGAGGTCAATATTGTCTAGCAGCATTACTGCCACTTCCACTGCTTGCTGGGCTCTTAAAAGACCTTTAGCTCTAATTGACCCTTAAATAGCACTACAGAACACTGAGAGCCAGGACTGGTGGCTGGAAACAAACTTTATGGAACTGTGAGAAACTTGGCCATGCCCATGATAAGTGGACACCCAGCTAACTCAAATCATACCGGACCACGGATGTTGCTGGACCAGAGGGTGCCGGACTAGAGAGGTTCAATCTGTATGGTTTTTTGCACATCTATGGCCAATCTGCTCTTTACAAACCTTAATTAAACCTTTCCCTTCCCCACCAAAGTCCAGAAGGCATGTCCAGCTCTAAACAAATAGGGGATTGTTTCACCCTTCACTGACCTGCAGTGAATCTGGGGTGAGATGCAATAGCTGTTTAATACTACGTGGCCACTTTATACAGCTGTTTAGAACAGGAATTGAAAAAAATGTCCTGGAGCGACCCTGTAGGGACTGTCTAGTTGAACAGGGAGAAAGTATCCAAACTGGGCTCTGGCTGTTTAAAAAAGCAGCACATGAGCACAGACAGCTGGCCTGGGAGCCTGCTATTTGTGGGTTTTTTTAAGTTTGATCGAAGTGGAGAAGTTGGGGAGATGTGACCAGGGGAATGTCTCTTGCCTCTACAGATTATCCCTGCAGTGGCCACGGGTGACAGTCGGCCAGGCCCTGAAATGACCCCTGGTCTGCCGTGGTGCACGGAGAAAGGACACTGAAAACATAACAGAGATTTTAGGGTGAAACACAAATAACTCTCTGTAGCTGCTGTTAGGAGATCAAGAATATGATACTCACACCAAGGAAATGTTGGTTCCAAGTGAGTAAGTCCTGATACTCGGCATATTTGGTGAAGTTTCCAAGATTTAGGTCCAACCAGTTCTGAATATTTTGAGTCATACTCCCACATGCAACACCTAGAGAGAGAGAAAGGAACTTTGACTACTGTGGAAGGGGTGCAATCCTTAATACCAGGCTCTTACGTCTTCTCTTGCTAATGCAAATCCGGAGTGACTCCAGTGGAGGCAACAGAGTTCTGGTTTGTAACAGGAACCAACATATGGAGTACTAGCAGCAGTATTTATTTGGACTGCTGTAGTCGCAAGAGGCCTGGGTCAGATCAGGGCCCCATTGTGCAAGGTTTTGTGCAAACACATGGTAGGAGACAGAGCTCACACATGTCTGTATCAACCCCTTTTTGTTGCTGGCAGCAATTAAAGCCCAGCTCTGGCTGTGTCTACACTGGGAAGATTTGGTGACAAAAGTGCTGCCGCCAGGCAAAAGTCAAGCTGGTTTTTCCTGCCTCCTGTTGTTGACATTTCATGGCCAGGTTGCTAGCTCCCCAGTGGACAGATGGAGCAAAGCATTGTGGGGAAGCATCCCACAATGCAGTGTTGTGGCAAGGCAGAGATGACCCCCACGCTTCTTGGGATTCTCTCTGAGTTCTCCCACAGCATCATGAGTGGCTCTGGGAGCTCTCTGTGCTGAGGAATGTCAAATCAGCACAGCCGTCTCTCCAGCCCTCTCCCTGCAGCAGCAGCTGGCCTGCCTCTGTGTTCCTAGCAGGGCAGAACAGGAGCATCCCAATGATTTGCTCTTTCTTTGTTCCCCAAACAGAGCAGCTTCCTCCGCTGTCAGAGACTTCCCAGAGCTTTGAAAGGGGAGGGGTGCATGCCTGCAGGGCAGCAGAGATCACAGAACACTGAGCAGAACCATCAGGGCAAGCATTGTGGGATACTGGTGGAAGCTAGTTCTCTGGACAAAACAAACAGAAGAGTCCACACTGGCTCTTTGCTGACAATAAAGGGAGGGGAAAAGACAAAAGTCCCTTGTGGAAGTGGAAGTTTTCTGTCGTGAAAAGCAGCCGCGGGCTGGGACATTTGTCGTGCTGTCACGGAGGTTTTGTCGTTCAAAGGCAGTTTTTCTTGACAGAACGTGCCAGTGCAGACAAGACCTATCATTGGCCACGTTGTCCTGAAAAGCCCAAGAGAAATAGCAAACATTCCCTTGGGGAAAGGAAAAGGTGACAGCGTTTGCCAAATGAATGAGAATTTATCAAGCACGCTTTGGTTTCCTTTCGAGTCAGAAGAAGGATAATGAGCACTTTTGCTGTGTCTCAAGCACACCAGGTCTTTGGCTTTCAAAGAACATTTCCCTAGTTCAGGCTTTCCTTCCTGCCAATTACCTGACTTGACTTTTGAGGCCAAGAACGCTTTACAGAATCCAAACACGCTCGGTGCCTTTCCTGGGGAGAGGCTGGAATAGATGTTATTGAAACCCTTCAATCTGCGTGAGAGGAGAAGAGAAAGAGAGAGAGGAAATGTCAAATAACATCCCGGAAGCCAGGGACAGGGGCGTTCTCATGTGACCCCTAGAATAACGACAGTGTTTGCATTCCATCCAAGGACTTGAAACCACTTTGTAAACATGAATCGCTAACGTCTCATGGTCCCTTCTGGGAGCTACAGCACTGTCATCCCCACGGTACAAGACTTCAGCGAGGGCATCAAGGACAGAACCCAGGACTCCGGGCGCCCCAGGCCCCTGCACGTGATGCTCGCTCCTGAGCAGGACGATAGGATTCCCAGCTCGCATAGACATACAAAACGGGAAAGCACTGCCCAGGAAGGAGTACTGTGGAAATGGATCTAGGGGTCACGGGAGGCCTGGTGGTCTGGGGGGTGCAGGAGTCAGGGCAGGACTTTGGGGATGTGGGGGGGGGCAGGGCTGGAGGTTGGGTGTGTGGGGGTGTGTGAGAGAGTGAGAGTTGGGGGAGGAAGTGGGGTCAGGGCTGGGGGTGGGGGTGTCGCATCCGGCGGGGCTTTCTCACTGCCCACTCCCCGGTTGGCAGGGCCTTTTCCCCGCCCTGTCTCCCCACAGCTGGCAGCATCTTTTTCTCCCCCCGCACCCCCAGCCCTTCTGGCCAATATGGGCCTTCTGCTCCCCACAGTCTCTCCATCCATGAGGGGCCTTCTGTCTCCCCCTCAGCTGCCAAGGGTCTTCTGTCTCCCTTTGCCCCCCTCAGCTACTAAGGGCCTTCTGTCTCCCCTGCTCCAGCAACCAAGGACCTTTTGTCTTCCCCCAGAGCTCCCCCCGAGCAGCCAGAGGACTTTTCTCTCCCCCAGCCTTCCTGAATTTCAGAGGCCTTCTGCCTCCCCACAGCCTCCCTGGCCACCAGGGGCCTTTCCTCCCCCCAGCGCGGTGTCCATGAGAGCACTGGCTGTGCTCTTGGTCATGCAGCTGCCCTAAGTGGTCTCTCTGCAGTATAGTTCTCCCCTATGGGCCCGCTGCCCCCAGTGGCCACTCTCAGTATCACATCCCTCCTCTCTCTGCCCCCTCTCTTTCCATATTATGGGAAACAGTCCCATTCCATGCACTTCCTGTTTTCCTGGCACAACCAAACCCAGCCCTTTGCTTTAAGTTAGGAGAAGAGGAAGCTGCAGACCAAATTTGGTGGTCCTAGCTCTTAACTGTTTAGGAGGCATTCTTGAAGAAATGAACTCACAGACAGACATACAGATAGATGCATACATCTCTAAAACATATAGAGAGATTACTTAACATAAAATTCTCAGTGACTTTTTCGACTTTGTTAAAATGAAATGCTTGGATCTTATGAAAACAAAAGGTTTTCAGTAATAATCCCTGAAAAATGTTAACAAACTTGATTTGTTGTGCAAAAATTCCAAGTTTTGTTGAACGAACAATTTCTGATGGGAAAACTGTTCCATCAGCAAATTGCCAACTAACTCTGCTTATTCTTCTGAAACCTGACCATGAGACTATCCTTATCACACAACCTCTTAAGAAATAGTCCCACGATTATCTCAAAACTTTACAGATCACCCTTCCACTCCACCTTCATTAGAAGGCCACCTCTATTAAACCAATAGTTTTTGCCTATTCTTGGAGTGAATGCTTAAGACAATGTGTATTGAATTATTAAACCAGCCCTGGTGAAGTCAAAAGCTT